ATATTTATTATTAATATAGATGTATATATATATAGTGTTAACAGCGAGAGGTCTTTCTCTGGAGTGAAACAAAAAAACGAAACTAATTCAATTCCCCAAAAATGCTCTTTCAACGAGTCCCCAGAGCTAGATTAACTCACCTGTAGCTATTTATTTCTTTTTACTTCGGCTCCTCCTGCTTCTCCCTATTCCTCGTCTTCTTGTCTGGACTTTGTGTGTTTGTGACAACGCGTAAAGAAAATTGCTTTTCACTTTGTTCCTCGTGGCCCCAAACCCAAGGCTCGAATTACAGCTGAACTTGTTTTCCCTGATAACTAAGGGGAAAACTGTTTGAGCCTGTCTCTGACAGATTGAGACAATTGCCGGCCCTTGCCACAGTTGCCACACTTCCCACATGCCACTTGCCACCTGCCACTTGCACCGACTGAATGCAGCAGAAGCAGTCAATGAGAATTTGATAAATTCAATGCGCAGCTCTTAACTTTATCTTTTCAAATAGAATTTTTCAAGCGCGATTTTCTTTCCTGCCAATGTGAAATAAGTTAAAAGTGCTCTAGGCGGCAATGCTCGACTAGCGGATGCCTTGGAAATCTGCCTTGAACTAGATCTCTAAAAGCACTCTGTTCTGAGTATGACACCCATAATATGATAGCCTGATGGAACTTGGATCCTAGTTATAAGATTTTATTGCGGACTTGAATTATGGCATTTGCTGGTAATGTTCATGCTTTTGTTAAGATAAATATTTATATAAAATATTCGATTTCCGTTTGTTTATTATTGAAACCAACTCACATTTCGGAGATCTAGATTTTGCCGGTTTCAAGTTACGCCTGAAACACCAAATCGAAATATCGATACTTATCGTTCTTAGAGATATGTAATGATTTATTGAAAATATAAAATAATTTTAGCTTGCATATGATGAGGTAGAATATATATCTAAAAGCTAAAAGTCTATAGCTATTGTGGTTTACGAGAAATATGCATTAGACGGACAGAGGAGATAGTTTTAGGTAGTCTTTCAAGATCAATATGGATTTATAGCCAACACAAATATAGCCCTTTTTCAACGCCATCAATAGAGTTTTAATAGCGACTTCATCAATTAGCCGAATGACGTTAGCCGGGCCAAATAGGGCTTGCTGGGAAGTATGCAAAAATCAATTAGCCAACGAGTTGACTGCGCTCACAGCATCAACAGCAATCGGATCTCTGTCTATACAAAGCATGTGGCAATATTTTATATGCTGTTGACAGAGCAGCCAAGGGGCGCAGTTGAGGGCGGGGCGGGTTTGTGAAGGTGGGCGTGGTTGCAGTTGCGGCGCAGTCTTAATGAAATGTAAACAAACTTCAAAAGAATGTTGGCTATAATTGGCAGGCAGTCGGACAGCCCGGAACTGCATTGCCTCAATTGTAGGGGAGAAATAGAAGGAGAGGGTACACATAATACAATATATATGTACAGAGAGAGGGAGGGGGCGAGGGAAGCGAGAGAATGGGGAGTCTAGAGTGTAGCCAGAGTCGAGCTAAGAGGAAATAGCCCGCGAAATAGACTCAAAATATTTGCGCAAAAAATATTTGTGGAAATGGACAACAACGAAAAAAATCTGAGTCGAGTGCAATCGACTGCATGATACTCGCACACACATCATATGGCATCTGTAGATGTAGTCAACTCCAAGGTAGAGTATTTGTATGTTCTTTCTATTCGCCAATAAATTTGAAAGATCCAGTTTATATAGAGCTCAATCGTAGTTCAACTAAATCCAATATGCTCGCTTTGCGCTGCCCTTGTAGTGTATTGGAAAAAAGTGCAGGCGAGTCATACCTTTAGCCGCCCTCTGACCACGCCCTGTTTGACTGATGTTCCGACTAACAATGTTATTTTCTCTGCTTTTGCCACTTTTCAGAAATAGCCGCACAAAAATTGAATTTCATTTTATTCCTGCTCGCCGCAGCTGAAAAATGGCGAAGCTGTCACGCTCCCTACACTTGATGCTCGCTCATCAAGCGAGCAAAAGGAGTCCATGTGGTTACGAGAGTTACATACAAATAACAAATATGTAAGTATGGAATCTTAATGTGCCCTTACTTAATAGCCAAATCTTAGCTGGCTCAAAAACTTTTCTCTCTACTTCTCTTTTTCTCTGTTCTCTGTCTTTCAAGCTTGAGCGAGCATTTTGCAGTTATTAGTGCTCTACTGTGGCATTCTTGTGTGCTCCATTTTCTTGTTTAAAGTCGTAGCTCGTCTTTCGTTTGACTCAATGCGGTCAGATTAAGTATACGCCCCATTGTGCTAGAAATCTGTTTTTTATTTAATTTCTATTCTGGCATCAAATGAATTCGTCTTCGACCTTTGTCTAAGCTGAAGTTTTGCTAACGTTATGTGAAATATAATAGAAATAATAAAGAAATACCATTATGACGGAAATAATAAAACAAAACTTTCCTTTTGTAAAGCGAAATTAGAAGAAGAAAAAATAACATTTCTAGAGCGCTGAGAGGAGGGATTGGACGCAGACATATGGAGCCCATAGAGTAAGTAAATAATAATGTTAGAAATTTTATATATTTTAGTCTATTTAACACATACAAAAGAGTAAGTCAAAATAGAAAATTAATGTTGTTTGAGAAATCAAGCAAATGTTTAGTGCGAAACATAAAGGAAAGAAGAGTACAATCTTTTTTATACACTTTACGATAGCTGGCTACATATCCAATTCTGGAGATTCATAAAACGCTCTAAGAAATGAGATATCCTATAGATGAGCTTTCTTCAATTTTAATTAATTTATCAATTTCAATTGCATTCAGTTTAAATGTTGGTTTATAAAAATGAATGTTCTATACTTAACGTTCATTTTGTGTCTACTCTCCATCGCCTTCAATATACCTACTCTTTAATCATTCCGAATGCGCTCAGGGTATATGAAGAATAAAGGAATAATAATAATATAAGAGAGTTGCGCCATTGCTACAATGTCTAACTGTGCCTA